GTGAGTGAATTCTCACGAGATCTGATGGTTTTATAAATGGTAGTTTTTCCCACACTCTCACATGCTCTCTCACTTGCTCTCTCAGGCCATGTAAGATGTGCCTGCCTCCCCTTTTGCCATGATTGTAAGTTTCCTGAGGCCTCCCCAGCCATGCAGAACTGTGAATCAATTAAACCTCTTTCCTTTATAAATTACCCAGTCTCTGGAAGTTCTTTATAGCAGTGTGAAAATGAACTAACACAAGTTATGTCTCAACATGGATAAATGTTTAAAACAATGAATCAAAAACAGCTGCAGTAGGACCATATGAAACCATGTTAGAGAGCTTGAAATATTGAACTCAATACTATAATTAATCACAGATTTATACATAGAAGTGATGTGGAAACACACATGGAAAAGACAGTAATAATTCAGGATAGTGCGAAGGGATGAAAGGAGATGGAGAGAACTAGGGAAGGGACAGAGGGAGCTTCAATGATGCTTTCATATTGTCTTCTAAATCTAAGCAAGTATGGCCAAGTGTTGGGACTCAATAGAGCTGGGATGTGGACTCACACATGCTTTTTCTATTATTATTTCACTTCTGTATGTTTGAAATACTTCAAAATTTGAAAAATAAAAAATGTAATGCCTCCAAGTTACACCCTGAATTTGGGGGCAACCCAAAACCTGAGTGTATCCTGAGAGCAACTTTTAATAAAAGCAAAAGTTTAATAAATTAAATCAAAATGAATAAAGACTAAATCCACCAATCATGATTATCCATCATTCCCACTGCTTCTACGACTTCATATCCTCAGGCTACAGAAAAGCTGATAAACCACATCTCCAGGACACCAAAGGAAGCTCTGAGAAGGAAACAATGTTTGCATAGGAGAGAAGCAATCGAGGACAATCAAAAAATGTTATCTAAAGGTTCAGCTCAACCTGCCCTTGTTAAATATGCTTGACAAATAAAGAAATGTCAGAGCAAATAGGCACTACAGAAAGGAAGGAGGAAATGAAACAAAAGCAAATGTGCAAAAGACAAGTGAAGAAGCCAGAATCTGGAAGAAAGTATACTCCCAGCAGTGGATTACAAGTTTTCACAGTAAATGATTTGTTGCTACAAGAAACTAAGAACAGGAAATCAACAAAACAGGGCCACAAGCGATGACAAAGAGATGGAATGAGATTAAAAAGGGAACTTGCAGAGTTTAGGAAGCACAGTGATCACCAAAACACCTCTATGGAAAAATGAATAAATTAGAAACAGTAAGAAAAAAAGACAGAGCATTGCAAATGTGAATAGGAACACTGAGGAATGGTTTCCAATAATTATAAAGAATCAGAGCTCTTTTATTTTCAGAGACAGGGTCTTGCTACATTGTCCAGACTGGTCTCGAACTTTTGGGCTCAAGCAATGCTCCCGCCTGTGTCTACAGCTTAAACAAAAAAAGACAGGGACCAAAATTTAAATAACAAACTAAATATTGTTCCCCTGATGTTTGTTAGTCATCTTATTAAAATAATTCTGCTGTTGCTCATAATACTTTTTTCACAACTTTTTGGGAATAACTTTTCAAATCATATTATTTTTAAAAATTCAATAAGAAACAACTAGTTTTGTTTCCTTCTTTCCATACCTTATTCTTGATCCAAAACAATTATTACTCAGCATGGTAAAGTGCCTGGCACACAACAGGAAATCATAACAACAACAATAGCTATAACTTATATAGCATGTATATATCTGGCACTGTTCTACTGTTCTTTATTACATACAGAACCATGTAATCCTCACAACCACCCCTGTGAAATAAGTACTATTATTCTCTTCAATTTTAATTAACGAAACTGAGGCATAAGGAAATTAAGTAACCTGCTCAAGGTCATATAACAAGTACCTGTCAAAGCTGGGATTTGAACCCAGGCATCTGGCTGCAGAGCCTGAGCTATTTATCTCTGCAAGAATATTTACTCAATGCGTGAATGAGCGATCAGCCCCTTTATTTACCCAACTTGGTCCCAAACGACTTCTGGCTCTGATGTGTTCTACTGAGGATGTGGGGATGATGTTCAAAATTAGATATAAAAATTCCGGTTGATTTGTTTTTCAAATGAATCTCACTACACCTGCACGATACTCAGAGCTCCTAATTCTAGTTTTCAACTGAAGGCCATGTTAGTTCTCAAAATCTCTATAAATCTTCTTACCCACCCCTTCACCTGACACAGGGTCAGTTAACTCCCTCCTTCCACAGGCAAAGCAGTGTTGTCAAAACTCAGAAGAGGTCAGCCACAAAGCTTGACGGAACCCTATCCTCAGGCCAAGGCAAAAGAGAAGAAACTGGAATTAACAAGGAATAGGGGAGCCCTCACCAAGTCCAAGGACTTACCTGGGAGCAGGAAGGGGCAGCAGAGGAAAGTAAGGAGTAGGAGAAGGGTCAACAGAAGAAAAATGAACACAGGCTGCAAACCTGGGTTTAGCCAGGGCCACGAAGCTTGGGTGGGGCCCAGGAACAAGGATGTTATAGTCAAGGAGGTAGACGTCTGTCAGGTCCAAGGAGGGACTCCATCCTCCTCAGCATCCTGGTCACCTGGGGAGAGAGGCTGATAAAGCCCAGGCAGCTTTTCAACCAGGATTCAGGATCAGGCTCTAGGCCTGGCAGAAAACCAAGGAGAAATCTAATCAGACACCCAGTTCAATGGACAAGTATGCATGCATCCCCTCGGATGCCAGTACTGGGCTCAGTTCCATGCCCAGGAAGGAGAAGATGGAGACTCTGACACTCTTCTGGAACCCGGCTGAACTGGCCTCAATCTGTAGCTGTTCAGGGACAGAGGAGGGAGGGCTACACCCTGGTATCCTCTGCTGAATGGATGAAGGTTACCATCCATGTGGAGAAGTCTGGCCATGGTGAAGTACGCAGATTTTCATAAAACTGACTGTCAAAGGTGGCCCTTGTTCATTCAAAGTACCTACTTAGAAATCCTACAAAAGAAGGGATGCCCCTGTCTGGAAGAACCTTTGCAAAGACCACCTTGTCCTTGTCAGTCCTCTGAGGTAACAGCATAGTGAAACATCTCTTTCCGATTTGCATTTCCGGGAGGTAACGTCCATGGGCCTCACACTGAGCTCCTTCCTGAACACGTCAGATTTTTATTATTATTAAATTTGCCTAACAAAGAAACTAAGACGAACTGACTTTAAAAGAGAAGAAAAAAATGAAAGGAGATAGGAAACAAGACTTAATACATATGCAATCATTCCTTAAAAGATATAAAATTCTCTCTTTGAAACCAAATTTGCATATTACACGCACCTGTTTTAAAGAGGAAACACCACAAAAGGTACATGTAAAGATGGGCAGAATCAGCATGCATTTACCCACAAATGCCCCTCTAAGGACTTCCTACATCTGTAAAATACTCTCAACAGCAGCCACTGCCCACCCCAGGCACCCAACGAAACATGACACTTCCCCAGATCTTGTATCTTCATTAAATTCTACTCCTCCTCCATCTCCATCTCTTTGAAAAAGACAAAAATAGTAAATGAGGAAGATGCGGAGATAAGAAGTAATGTTAACATTTACAATAGGTGGCCACTCATAACAAAGACTTAAGTTTGTTATGCTAACATAAAGGATGAGTGAAAAATAATTTTCCAACATCTGATTACTGCAGATTCAGTTGCTATCATTTGGAAGCTGTACTTATCCCTCAAAAGTCAGAAATCTAAACAAAAAATGAAACAAAACCACGAAGGAAAACTACAGTGCGGTGTGAGAGCACACTTGCACATGCACATACATAGGCGCGCACACGCACACGCACACACACACCTGGTACAGATAATGTTTTTAAAATAACGTTCATTACTGAATCTTAAGGTACCTCACTGTACTTAGCAATGACCTACAGACTCCCTTCTGGTCCTCCCAAAGTCAAAACCCCTGGTGTCATCCCTTAATGCAAAGCTGTCTTTCTCACCATTCTGCCTAGCAGCCCCCTCCACAACCCCCACGACGCAGAAGCTGCCTGCCGCAGGGTGCTTCAGAGTTTGTTTTGTTGTTGTTGTTTAAGATCACGCTATCCTTTCTAATCGTGTGATGTTTCCATCCAGTACTGATTCCCTAAGTCTTGCGTGCGCACCGTGCTCACCCAGGAACACAACTTCCTGGGTGCGTGGCGTGAGTGGCGATAAGACTTGATAAATGAATATGTTTTCACACCAAGTTTGATGACATTTGGTCTGTAACAATTTTCTTTCCCTTCATTTAAAAGGAACGAAGGAAAACAGAAGAGCACGCCTGCAGTGCGCGGCCGCGCCGCGGTCCCCGGCGCCCGGCACCCACGCCCCCGCGCGCCGCAGGACCCGGCCCCGCGCTCCCGGCCAGCGCTCCCCGCGCCCCGCGCCCCGCGCCCTAGCCCCGGGCCTTACCGTGCGCGGGGCAGCCCCGGCAGGCCCAGTCGGACTGGAAGCCGCCGCGGACTCAGAGCCGCACCCCGGCCCGCGGACGCAGGGGGCGCACGGCCGGTCCCCGGAGGCGCTGGGTCCAGGCCGAGGATGGTTTTCCGCCCCGCTCCGCTCCGCATTTAGGAGGTGGGAGGAGCGCGCGGCGATGCGCACAGGAAATCCGATAGGTGAGGAGGCCAGCGGGCCGCGCAGGGCGGCGCGGGCTGGGGGACGCGGGGGGCGGCTCCGGGAGGCTGCTGGACCCCCGCGCGGGCAGCCGGGGGAAGAGGCAGGAACTGTCTACAAATGCTCCAGCTCCGAAGCCCCGAGGGAAAGAGCATCTTTCACGGAGCACCAGGAATTGACGAAGGTGGAATTTACTCAGATCCCCTGAGGCCGGTTCTTTGAGTTTCTGTCCGGCCCTCCGGGAGAACCGTCCCAAAGTTAACTTTGAAAACACTCACAGGAGACGGAAGCCTGCAGGGTCCTGCGCTTCTCAAACCCCAGATGCCCCCGGAAAGAACCCCCCCCCCCCCCCCCCCCACCACCACCAGCAGCAGATCTTTTTAAAAAGAGATGCTACCTTCACAGCAAAAGGCCTGATTGTGAGGAATGAGCCAAAGGCATGCAAGGCGTGGGGCGCTATGGGGCTGCGCAGTGACGACCCAATGAAGTAGGTGCCTTGACAATTCCCATTTCATGGATGAGACGACTCCGGCACAGAGAAGTCAGAGGGCCTATCCTGGGTCACACAGCCACAGGCGGCCTCCAGGTGACTGAATACTGATGTGTCACAGCCACAGTGCGGGGGGGGGAGGGGGGAGGGGGGCTGCAGGAGCTGAAGCCAGTAGGACCCCACCTTTCTCTGGCAGGAAAAATAGACATATATTTATGTAAACAAACACACATTTTTAAAGAGTTGAGAACATATTCAATTCGGTGATCTTCAACCCTGGCTGCAGTAAAATCTCCTGGGAAGCTCTTAAAATTTCCAGTGCTCAGGCGCCTACCCCAGGCCCAATGAAGCCGGCTTATTTTCCCTAATGTCATAACTTAAGCAGCTTTAGAGCAGTACCAGCCCTTTCTTCCCCACGGCTGACAAGTGATCCTTTTTGCACAAAGATGACGTGAACTAATGGGGGAAGTGGGGAGAGACCCCCCACACAAAAAAATTAGAAATATGGAGTCCAGAGCCTAAAAGGTGTAGAATCGCTTCAGAGAACGGACACACCTCAGAAGCTGGAGCGTCGGGTTGGAGAGAAGCCTGTGAGGGGTCTGATGGGGAGGAACGCAGCAGCGGGGTAGCAATCACCAGCCGGGATTATTAAACTCCCACGCGATTCTGCACGTGGCTTTGTGCAGCTCCCATTTCCTGGGGTAACCATACGGGCCTGGCACACTCACAGCCAAGCAGGGCCAGACAGGATGCCGCCTCAGGCAGCATCAAGTGAGGCGGGTACCACCCCCGAAGGGGCAGGAGGTGAGCCTGCCTGCCCTCCGGGGTGTCCCCTGCCCTTTCCCTCCCAGTCACCGGTTGCTGTTCCCCCGACTCCCTTCCCACCCTTTCCTCCCTTCCCACCCTTTCCTCCCTTCCCACCCAGCGCCTCCTGCACCAAGAAGCACATCAGACCTCTGTCCAGCCACGGACACCTCAGTTGAGCCGGCACCTGAGGGGCTGTGACATGGGACAGGTGTTGTTTTAATAAAGGAGGCAGGGGGGCAGGGGAGGAAGGTGCAGGACCCAGAGAAAGGGCCCTGGGAGACTGATACTTAGGGCTGTGCTCTGAGGGGCAGGGGGCCAGTCTCAGCGGGGGCCCTCAGCGGGGGCCACAGAAGCCCAGCCTGGGTATATGTAAATACCGACAGAACAGTTAAAATACATTTATTACATTCCAAGTATAAAAATCAGGGAATCGTTTAAGTAGAATTTCAGCTTTGGGTGCTGGTGGTGGAGCCGGAAGCTTCTTCCCTGAAATTGTCCTGGGGAGGAGGGTCCTCCCTTTTTTGTTTTCAAGACTAGAGTAATTGAATTATACTACAATGACTTCTTCATTCGAGTAGCTTGTTTTCAATTAGGCTAGTAAGTGGTATGAAAACAAGGATGAAGGAAACGAACTGGAGGGGTAAGGGCCTCTGCATGGGGGCAGTGTTCTAGCTGAGACCCGGATACTGAAAGGGCAGGAGAAGTGAGGAGGGAGCATTCCAGGCAGATCAGATCACAGCAAAGGCAAACACCCTGCACCAGGAATGTACCTGCTCATTGTTCAGCACTACCACGTAGATAATAGGCTGTAGCAAAGGGCAGATCATAGGTCAATGTGTGCAAATTGCTTAGCCCAGTGAGCACCACTGTGAGATGAGCTAGCCATGGCCTTGGGTCTTGGAGATACCTGTCAAGAAAGTGAAAGCATCTATCCATCCATCCTAGGCCAGAGCTCATGGTCTCAGGCTCTGACATTGGTCTTTGCTAAACTGTATGAGAGGCCGAGGCAGTGGCCCAGGCAGTGGTCCGCTCCATCCCGATCACTGTGGGGATGGGTCACCTGTGAGCCATGCAGACTTCTCTCCCATGGGAGAAGGATTTGCAGAAGCCAAGCACCTCTTCCCCATATGCCTTCCACCACCCCACAAGGCCCTCCAGAGCCTGGTACCAGTGACTGTCAGTCAAAACGTGCATCCTTCCCCGTGCCCACTGACGCTCCTGTTTGGTCTCAGGGTTCTTAACCTCAGCACACTTGACAGTTGGGCTTGGATAATTCCTTGTGAGATTGTCCTGTGCACTGTGGGATGCTTAGCAGGACCCTTGGCCTCTACCCACTGGATGTGCGCCCCTGCACACACACACAAGCTGTGACAACGTCTCCAGACTTGCCAGATGTCCCGTGGGGAGCAAAGTCACACCCAGTTCAGAATGGCTGCTCTCGTAGAAAGGACCAGGGCCCAGTGCTCCACAATAGCTACAGCAAACATTTATCCATGACAGCTCCATGGAAAGGGCCACTTAGAGATTAGAAGATTGTGCCCCACGATGGAGCTGCCGGTCAAAGTCCCCTGCTGCCAGTCCTGCACCGCATGAAGCAGTCGCTGGTCACATTTCCCTGCGGCCAGTCCCTCCCTCCATGCCAGCCTTCAGGTGCTCCTTCCACAGGCCAGCCCGTGTCATTTCAGGACCCGCTCCTTCCCTGCCCTGTGCCTGGACCAAGGCTCTCCTGGATATACATGGGACTCTCCTGGACTTCACCAGATCTCTGCTCAGAGACCACTTCCCCTTCCCTGAGGCCCTGTTTAGTGCACACGTCCTCCCACACCTCAGTCCCCCACTTTTGATCCTTCTGGCTCAGCATTGCTAGCTGACATTTCGGGGTCCGCTTACTCATTTGTCCATGCTCTGTCTCCCCTGCCAGAACGGGACTTCAGGGTGCACCACTGCACCCCAGGAGAGGCCTCCACCTGGCACACAGGGGATGCTGGAGCAATACTTGAATAAATAAGTGGAGGGATCAGCCAATGGCATCCATGGGCAGTGGCTGGGGAAATGGAGCAAGTGAGGGCTCTTTTTTTTTCCTTTCATCTATCTTAAGACCCACTACGAGGGCCCTTTTCTACCATGGGGTTTGGTTGCAAAATGTGCAAGCAAGTTCCTTCTCCCCTCCTGATCCAGGCTGGTGATGGTGGGAGGCAGGAGACCTCACCTGCTCTTCACTCATCTCAAGGAAGCTCCAGCCACTACCAGCGGAAAATTCCTGCATTTCTGACTCAAAAACCTAAGTGGAACGAGCTTCACGGTTAAGATGTCCCAGGGACCCTCATGAAAAGTTAGAGAATCATCAGAGGTTCTTTGAAGCCTGGAAAATGATTTTCCCGGGGAACTCACAATACTAATTAGAATGCCTCTGCCTGAAAGGCTTTCCAGGCCCACAGTAGTTTTCTGAAGCATGAAACAAAGCTTTCTCTTGGAACAAGGTGAAGCGTGGGAGAACAGAGTGGGCCGGGGAACTGGGAGCTGAACCCTGGAGGTAGCGGCTGCTGCCTGGAGTCTGAGGTGTGTGCCAGCAGTGTGGCTCCTGTCCTGGGGCCCCTGGGAGCCGCATCACTGCCTCACTTGGGGGATACCCTGCCCATGTGGGCTGATCTTGCTGCAACAAACAAGCTGACTTTTCCTCAACTGGGTGGGAGCCTTCGTTGGGACTGCAGAACATGATTACAACCACCATCACTCCCAGGGAGCTGAGGAAACATGGCCCAAACCAGGGCGGCCCACGGAGTTATTACCTAACAATTGTGCGTTATACGGATAGGTAAGGCTGTGGCCAGTTGCACCCTATGGGGTAGGATGAAGGTGGCCCCTCATTCCTATAAGTAGGTGGGACCACGCCTTCCCAGCTAATGAAGGAATTCACTCTCTGAATGGGACCAGAAGAGTCTATGCTGGTTAACAGAAGGTCACAGTCATGGAAGGAGGCCGTGTTTGGATGGTCCCTGGTCACCTCTGAAAAAACACAGCCCTCCAGCCCTGAGGCCACAGAGAAAGTACTATAACCAGTTCATAAGCATGCATCAGTAAGCTTTTCTTTTTATATTTTCATAGAAGTTTTTAATTTGATTGTGGGGATTTTTCCTGAATAATACAATTTTATGACACATGAAAAACCAAGGACACTTGAAAAATGATCACCACCTTTCACTGTTGAGCTGGCTTCTTATACATAATTCTCAGCACAATGCACGCCCTTCCCCACAGCTGTCCTTTCCCTGACATGTCTAGTGAGTTCTAGAGCATATAAACCTAAACTCATTCTAAGGTCTCTAAAATTAAGGTCCATCTGGACTCTTCAGCGTGGAAGTTCCAAGCCACAGAGGAGATGGAGTGGTAAGAACATGTAGAGTTTCGTCAACTTGGTTTTGCAAACTCTCGCTCCGTAAGTAAGCTCCACCCCTCAGTTTCCCCGTCTGCACAGTGGGCGTAACAGCGTTGTTGTAAAGCTTAGGGAAAGATGGGGCAGCCAAACACAGGAGGACTCCTGTGGCACTCTGTGCTTTCTTTTTGGTAACACAACAATTCTCAGGCTTTTTTTTTTTTTGAGACGGAGTCTCACTCTGTCACCCAAGCTGAAGTGCAGCGGCGCGATCTCGGCTCACTGCAACCTCCGCCTCCCAGGTTCAAGCAATTCTCCTGCCTCAGCCTCCGGAGTACCTGGGATTACAGGCATCTGCCACCACGCTTAGCTAATTTTTGTATTTTTAGTAGAGTCGGGGTTTTATCATGTTGGCCAGGCTGGTCTCGAACTCCTGACCTCAAATGATCCACCCGCCTCGGCCTCCTAAAGTGCTGGGATTACAAGTATGAGCCACCGGGCCTGGCCAATTCTCAGGCATTTTTGTGTGCGTTTGTCTTAATTTCTGTCTTGACTACAGGCCTCCTTCATGTATCTCACTGACTTCTGTTTCCACCAGTGCCTATCACAGTTCGTGAGATATAGCAGGTATTCAAGACAGGTGCTAAGTGAATAAACGAAGTGATGCATGAATAAATAAATTTTTAAATGAGTGACTGAGTAAAACTCAACACAGAGCCTACACACAGTGAGCATTCGCATAGTAACAATGGCACCATTCATCCTTAAAACATACGATCTTTTGCTTTTAGACCACAAGGGCCTTTAAATAGTGCAGTAAGCTTGGAAGGAAAGTTCGTCACTTTAAAATTAGTTTAATTTATAGTAATATTGGGAAAAAGGATCTAAAAGCAATCTCACTTCCAACATGCAAACAAACAAGTGAAAACCACTTTGCTTTGGTCCTTTTCATATTTCTTTCAGGAATACAGATTTCTATTTAAAAATTTGGGATAAACTAGGCTAGGTGGTGTGCGCCTGTAATCCTAGCTACTTGGGAGGCTGAGGCAGGAGAATCACTTGAGACCAAGAGTTCCAGAGCAGCCTGGGCAAAATATTGAGACACAGACCCTTAAAAAAAAAAAAAAAAAAAAAGGGCCAGGTTTGGTGACTAGCCCCTGTATTCCCAGCACTTTGGGAGGCTGAGACGGGTGGATCACTTGAGGCCAGGAGTTCAAGACCAGCTGACCAAGTGGTGAAACCTCGCCTCTACTAAAAATACAAAAATTAGCCGGGTGTGGTGGTGCATGCTAGTAATCCCAGCTACTTGGGAGGCTGAGGCAGGAGAATCACTTGAATCTGGGAGGCGGAAGTTGCAGTGAGCCAAGATCATGCCACTGCACTCCAGCCTGGGTGACAATGAGACTGTGTCTCAAAAAAAAAGGGGGGGATCTCTTTTGTAGAAACAAGAGTCTCAGTATGTTTCCCAGCATGGTGTTTTTTAATTTTTCTTTTTTTTGTATAGACAGGGGTCTTTCTGTGTTGTCCAAGCTGGTCTTGAACTCTTCAACTCGGGCAATCCCTCCCAAAGTACTGGGATTACAGGCATAAGCCATCACGCCCAGGGTCTCTTTCTATCTGTTGCTGGTGATCCTGACTTCTTCAGAATGCAGCATCTGTGGACATGCCATGTCGCATGTAGCTAACCAGTGCTTGGAGAGACTGGACTTAAGCTCTTGTTTTCAACCCAGACCCAAGGACAGCCTGTCCCTTTGCAGAACTGCCTAGCATACAGAGTTCCATGTCATGTAGCTTGTACAATTGGGAAGGAAGCAGAAAGTAGAATTCTGAAATAACAGAACTGACTTTTTTTTCCAACCAGCACAGCACCATTTCATGTTAAGAAGCCTTCAGAATCATTTCCTACCCTCTCAAGGAACCCATTCTTTAGAGGCACACACCGTTCCCGTCAGAGAGACGATCTTCCTTGTGCTAAACGATTTTTTGATGCACTGAAAATTAAATTCACACTCAAAGACTTTTCTGCATTTGAGGAGATTTTCCTGTACCTTGAGCTCTGTCAAAAGAGGCATATTGAAGAGAGGGTAGTTCTGGGACCATTTGCAAGACAGCTCATTGATCGGAAGCCTATACAATCTGGAGTGGCGGCTTAATATGTTGATCGCCCTTTGAGGTGGGGCACAAGGAAAAATAAACTATTTCTCCTTCGGGAACACGCAGTGGCATAAGAGACACCAACTTGGTGATAACTGACCATGCTAGGATTGGACCAAGGTGCAGAAGCAAACAGAACCTCCACAAAGCGTAAAGATGTCTTGTGCCTGCAATCCTAGCGCTTTCAGAGGCCAAGGCGGGAAGATTCCTTGATCTCAGGAGTTCGAGACTAGCCTGAACAACACAAGACCTTATATCTATTAAAAAATAAAAATAGTAAAATTAGCTGCACACCTAATTGGTGGCACACACCTGTGGTCCCAGCTACTCGGGAGGCTGAGATGAGATCACTTGAGCCCAGGAGATCAAGGCTGCAGTCAGCTATGATCACGCCACTGCCCTCCAGCCTGGACAACTGAGCAAGACCCTGTCTCCAAAAAAAAAAGTTAAAAAAAAATTAAAATGTGCTGGAGTGCAGAGGAAAGGTCAGTTGATTCTCACTAAGGGTTGGACTTCATTGGTGATTTTCTATCTTAAGAGTTAGAAACTCCTCTTTCAAATGAAATGTGTGTGGACCTCCAATGTCTTAAACCAGGTCAGAGATGTTTTGTTGGGGATGGGGGCTTCCAACCCACTAAACACCCCTGTCCTGCCGTAGCCCCAGAGGTACCACCCTGGGCTTTGCCCAGTGCTACTTCAACACCTCCAGATGGGAGGAGAGGGACCTTTCCTTCCAGTTCTAACCCCCACGTCGGTCAATGGGAGCCCCGTACAAAATGCTGGGGAAGCTAAAGAAATCAGAGTGCAGGCGGTTTCTTGTGACTTACTGCGGGGGCTCTTTGTGTTTCCCCTCCTCCTGCCTGGTAGACTTCTCCTTGCTGGCTGGGTCCACGTGTGGATGCACGGGCACGGAGGATGGAAACCCAAGATCACTCAGTAACATGCTTCTTGTCGGCTTCCTGCAAAGGGGAGAAATCACGCATCAACCAGAAGCTTTTCAGTGAAAACTTGAGGACCTCCTACATTCATCCACCAGAACACTGCAGCTTTCAAAGTACTTTCTAGACACTCAATGTCATTCAAGCTTCTGATAATCCCACCGGGAGGGATGAGTGGGAGGTGTTATTATTTCACAGATGAAATTGAGGTTCGCTGGTGACTGAGCGCCTCTTGTCACCTCACTGTCCCATGTCCACAATGGAGATGCAGGAAAGGTGCTTTGAAATTTGCTCGGCACCTGGTAAGCCCTCAGTGCACGTCAGCGATGGTCATTCGGTAGTGACCCAAGAGCCCATCACTAGGAAGTGGGGGACTGGGAATCAGGACTCAGACCTCCAAATTCCCCCCAGGACCTCTCGCTCACTCTGCTATTCGAGTGTCCAGACCAGAAGCATTTTTGGATCTCCAGAATAAAGTAAAAAGTGCCAGCAATGCTTGGTGAATTAATAACACTGTGATGTTAAGGCTCTGTTTTCCAGGATTTATCATGATTGATTTTATTGAGTAAAGCCTGGGAAAAAGAATTAGATGTAAATTTAGAAAAACTCATTTAAGTATCTCTTTAGAGTAATATTATGTATTATTATTGTTTTGTTTTGGTTTTTTATTTTTGTTTTTGTTTTTTTTTTTTTTTTTTTTTTGGAGACAGAGTCTCGCTTTGTTGCCCAGGCTGGAGCGCAGTGGCACAATCTCAGCTCACTGCCAAGCTCTGCCTCTCGGGTTCATGCCATTATCCTGCCTCAGTCTCCCGAGTAGCTGGGACTACAGGCGCCTGCCACCATGCCCGGCTAATTTTTTTTTTTTTTTTTTTTTTAGTAGAGACGGGGTTTCACCGTGTTAGCCAGGATAGTCTCGATCTCCTGACCTTGTGATCCACCTGCCTCGGCCTTCCAAAGTGCTGGGATTACAGGCATGAGCCACTGCACCTGGCCTTGTTGTTGTTATTATTATTAAAGCTCTGCGCCAATCATTATTCTAAATGTTTGACATTTCTTTCTGGCTACAATTTTGTGAGTTACATGCTGTTATTCTTCCATTTTACTGATGAGAAAACTGAGCCACAGAGGAACCAAATAATTGACCCAGGTAAAGCAATCTCCTGACAAACAGAAATAGCCTGAAGTTATAACATGTACATATTACTTTGTTAGTCCACCTAATTCCTCTCCCACTTTTTGGACTGACTTAGGACTTTGTTGGTTTTTGTTTTTGTTTTTGTTTTGAGACAGAGTCTCACTCCATCACCCAAGCTGGAGTGCAGTGGCACGATCTCAGCAGACTACAGCCTCCACCTCCTGGGCTCAAGCAATCCTCCCACCTCAGCCTCCCAAGTAGCTGGGATTACTGGTGTGTGCCACCACACCTGGCCAATTTTTGCCTGTTTTCTGTAGAAATGGGGTTTTGCCACATTGACCAGGCTGGTCTTGAACTCCTGGCCTCAAGTGATCTGCCCACCTTGGCCTCCCGAAGTGCTGGGATTACAGGCATGAGCCACCACACCCAGCCTCCTCTCCCCCTTTTTATCATTAACAGTATGAATCTAAAGTGAAGGGAGAGATTTAGGCCTACAGAGCTTCCCACTTTAGCTTGAAGTGAATGAGAAGCTGGCAGTATTTAGCATAGATGTATTTCAAAGAAGGAAATCCATAAAGCCATAATTAGCCCCTGAGCTGGAAGCCAGATGAAATTCCTTTAAAACAGAGATAAGAAACTAATTACCCTACTTTCATCTGAGGCAAAACACCAAGAAATGGGGTGAAGAGCAATAAGAGAAATTAATTAGAGGCAAAGTAAAAATGGAAAAGGGAGATCAATGCAAAAAGGAGTGAGATCCTCTCTTGAGGGCCAGGAAAAGCCTGCTGCCCATTTCCCAAATTTCCTCCTCTTTTACAGACTCAACAACATGACTTAGAAAGGCTTTCATGGTTTGTGTGTCCTAGGGTGGTCTTCACGGTAGTCTGTACCCTGGCTGTTCAAAACGCATTTAGGAAAAAAACGAAAACCACTAAGCGGAGTCCAGGATCTCATGTGTGCAACTTGGGGAGACCCTGTCTGCACAGTTTTATAATGCAGGCCTTCTCAGAGCCTTTACTGTGAGTTGAGAAT